GCCCCCAGATGCAGGTCATAAGCCCTCAGATGTTGGCTATAAGCCCCCAGATGTTGACCATAAGCCCCCAGATGCTGGCCATAAGCCTCCAGATGCTGGCCATAAGTCTCCCAGATGCTGGCCATAAGCCCCCAGATGCTGGTCATAAGCCCTCAGATGCTGGCCATAGGTCCGCCAGATGCTGGCCATAAGCCCCCAGATGTTGCGCATAAGCCCCACGATGGCGGTCCTAAGCCACAAGATTCTGTCGTCTATAATCCCAGTGTTATTTCAGTATTTTTATTGTCTAGTATACCTTGCGAAATCTAATTTCCTTAGTCTCTTGTGAGTGCCGATCATGATTTGATTTGATTTGATTCAAGAACTGACATCACAGCACTAGGGGCATTTCCATAAGCGCTCCGTCCCCATCTTCAGCAGCCAGCGAAGAGTCCGATACTAATGGTGCCAGTAGCTTTCTGATTAAACGTCCGTCTTGCCTTTCCTCTGAGCCTTGAGCTTCTGCCAGAACCTCTCGTCACCCCCAACTGCATCAATCTCACCAGACTGTGGTGATCCATTTGCTCCTCCGCATTGTACACGCTCTCCCACAAGGCACTAGCCACGTCTGCTCTATCATGTAGCAGTATTCCACCAAGTTGTGAAGAGACAGCCAGTCTGTCCGCCTGTTCATTTCCCACCACACCGGCGTGACCCGGTGAAAAAATCCAGACAATACTCCCCACTCGTGTCCTCCACAGTGAAGCATGCCACTCTGCACGAAGCATACCTGTTCTGATCTTCCTCAGCATGCTTTCTGAATCAGTTACAATTACAATGTGTGTGTGTCGTGTTCTCTAGCCAGCGGAAAGCTGCAGTGACCGCCTCCACCTCCATTCTTAAGCTGGATGTTGTGGTATCATATGCTAGGCTCTCCTGCATCAAACGTCGACCATTAACTTTTGCTAAAAAGCCCCAAGCACTTCTTTTGCCTCTTGACACTGAACCGTCTGTGTAAATGATCAAATCCTCTGAGCGAGCATTATCTTGAATTAATTGCTGAATTTCCACCTCTGTGGCACCTGCTGGCAAGTCTCTGCATTTCCGACTCAGCGTGATTATGACTCTACACAAGTCTGACTGCTCAGGTGGCGAGTGCCGATCAATGCTAGTAAATATATTTATCGCGCTATGTCACTGTGGGATATTGCAGGGAAGTGTCAGATAGTCAACAGATTGGTAGTGTAAATACGTGATCAATTATCTCTCTGTTCTGCCAGTTTGTCACATATACACACAATATCTGCGGGTGTGAGAACATGCCAGGATTCCAAGCGCTATTATTCTCTAGCGACGCGTAAATGCAAAAGTTGTGTCCTATCGTTTGTAACCAGTTGTCTTTGAAGTACAGAAATAACTGATTCTGGTAACCCCATTGTTCTGTACAGCCCGTATTGATGTCATTGTTAATGAAGTTTTTGGATCTATTATTATTTATTGCTAGGTATTTATTCCCATTTCGATCTCATCTCTCAGAGCAAAGTGTTTTCACTTGCAGATGAAGCGAAGTTAGCTCCGCTCACTCTATTTCACTGATTGCATTCATCCCTTTTGCTTTCGAATAAAATCCTGTAGGTATGTGACCTTGACGAGCCCAGACAAGAACAATGGATGGATACACTATTCGCTATACACAAATACTCTAAAGTTGTCATCACTTGGGGGAGGTAGTACAGAAATCAAAATTCGGTCGCCGTAGGCACCAAGATAAGGACACTGATAGATCGGCATTCACGTCCAGCAGACACTCATCTACACAGACTGACGAGTGAAAAGCGGGTCAATGTCTGCCTGGGCATGCGCAGCACAGAGAATAGGGAAAACAGTTAAGATAGGATAATGGCGCTTACCAGACAACTATGTCAAGTATGACCACGTAATAACTACTTCCAGATCACTCTCATGGCCAGCAGTGTCATATCGGAGTAAAATGTGGCGAACAAGCGGACAGAAGAGCACGTACTGCACCGCTGCGGGAGGGAAGACTCGTGTACAGTAAGATATTATCAACGTTATATAAATTTGACCGGCGGATAATGACGAATCTTTGACTCGTGACCAACACGATTACATGACATATGAGTAAAGGCCGGTGACGTACATGGCTGTCGTTTTCTAGGTCAAGATAGAAGTCACTGCAACCGACATCGCATGGGTAGTGATTATAGAGGAACTCCACCTCTTTTCTGGCATATTCCCTAAATAACATTTGCTAATGGTGGCTCAGAAGGAAGACTGAATAAAAACTCAATGGCTCTGTGACTGTAAATATATATATTATAAAAGATTTACCCCACAAAACTAGCGGTGCAACGGCCTCACGATTTGGCATTTTTAGTCAGAGATATTTTGAGGTCACATAGCTGCTCGGTCGAGGCTTGGATCACGGGACTGTGGGTAAGCTGCGGGTCAGAGTGAGTGAGAGAGAGAGAGAGAGAGAGAGAGAGAGAGAGAGAGAGAGAGAGAGAGAGAGACAGAGAGAGAGAGAGACAGAGACAGAGAAAGAGTGTGTGTGTGTAAAACTATGAAAAAAAAAATAGAAAAATATAAGGGTCTCGGGGAATGGACAAGCATCATCATAATGTGTCTAGCCGACAGGCGTGGATAGTCAAGTCTTCCCAATTTCTTGACTTTTTAGCTACAGTATACTTTGATATGACAACCGCTCCTTTGCCATAATTGTTCATTTTTACTCTGTATAAAGTATACACAATATGCCCCAGAGGCCCGATGACCACTAAAGCTCTCAAGTAACTAGCTGACATGACAGCTTCAGCCCTCATTGAGCCACCGGCACCTAGCATATTGACATGACAACTTCAACACTTACTGAGCCACCGGCACCTAGCATATTGACATGACAACTTCAACCCTTACTGAGCCACCGGCTCCTAGCATATTGACATGACATTAATCGGTGTTATCATAATTTCCCCCTTTTTTAAATTAAAAAAAAAAAAAAAACTATGTATGAAGTCAGAGCACCATATGGCACAGGGGCCCTAACACCCCCTGTCTACCTAGCCTCTATGACAATTTGACCTCGTCACTGAGCCATCGACACCTTTGCTCGTTAGCTAACAACCGACACCACAACAGACCCTTGAGAGACACATTCGCCTACGCTCATCGATATGGCACTTAATAATGCTGATTGACAGCTAAACCACCCCTTAGTCCCAATTTACATCCACCCCTGTAATTTTCTTCTTCTTGTGTCGTCTCATTTTTACAAGGTTGTTTCCCAGTGTCGTGGTTTTCCGTATTTGTCTTGCGCTTCTCGGTTGGCCAGAGTGACGGATTTGTTCAACTTTTTGAATGTTTTATCTACACCTTATCCATGTCTTTCTTGGTCTTCCCCTCGCCTTCCTCCCAGATGTTCTACTGAAAAAAAGTCTCATATGCAGTTTGGTCTGGCTGCATTCTCACTGGATAGCCAAACCATTTCATTTCATGTCCAGACATGGTTTTATTCCAACGTTCTTTCTAAAGCTGGTATTCGCAATCCTGTTTCGACTAGTGTTGTTAGTGACCTTGCAGAGAGAGAGAGAGAGAGAGAGAGAGAGAGAGAGAGAGAGAGAGAGAGAGAGAGAGAGAGAGAGAGAGCGAGAGCATTTTACATGTAGTTATCTTCTGTTCTAATGTCCTATTTATTGTCCATGTTTTGCACTGATAACATAAGGTAGGGATAAAGATGCTATTAATCATTTGCTGTTTTGCTTGAAGGTAGACATGGGGGTGTCTAAGCCCTTATAGTCACTTTTATATATTTTACTCTATTTACTTTCCATCCCCCTTCCCCAAGCTATTAATACTAATAGTTTTATTATGACCTCTGAAATCCTGGAAACCTCTGCTCCGCCTGCATCACCACTCACGTGTACACAAGAACTTGACCCGAGACGCCAGAAGACCTATAGGGCTTCCCACTGTCGGGTAGCTGACCCCGAGTCACCTGACCGGAACCTGAACAGGGCCGCCAGGTGACCTACATCGGGCTGCCAAATCTTTTTAACACCCAAGTTCTATATTGGCGGGCACATATCAAAGGTTATATAGGACCAGGGAGCAAGAAATAATACAGATTTTGTCGATAATCACTACTCATATATACATACATACATCCATCCATCCATCCATCCATCCATACATACATACATACATACATACATACATACATACATACATACATACATACATACATACATACATACATACATACATGCATATTATAATAATATTATGTTATCTGTTCAAGCTTATTTTAAGTGCATAAGAGTATAATAAAACAAAATGGGAACAAAACTGGAAAAGGTTATGTGAAAAACGGAAAAATAAATTGCAAGAACTGCTGAAACAAAGCCTATAATTAAATTAATTAAAAAGCAAATGCTGAAATGGTTGGGCCATTTAATGAATCTGACTCCAGTAATGCCAGATACAAGACTTTACAACATGAAAATAAAAACAACCAAGTTGTAGAGGACGACTAAAAAAGAACATGGACTGAATGAATCACCGATATTTTGAAACTCTACAAATTCACAGCATACCAAGCGACCGAGCGTGCCATAGCACGGAAACTCATCATATTAACATGCGACGCCTGGAAATGCAAAGCAGAACATCGACAAATGAAGGAAAATAGATTAAAACGTGCACTTTTTAAGAAATTGTGATATTTATATTGTATTTTGCTATGTAATCTCAACCTTGTCGTACAGGGATTTGATTCTGCAAATTATGGGTTTAACATTCTGGAGAAACTTTTTACCAATATGATCAGAACTCCGCTAATACTAATAATTAATAAGAAGCAACAAATGGTCATGAATGGACTATGTGAATGGAGAGTTCATAAAACATGGTGCTACATTTCTCCCTTTTAAAATATGGTTAAGTAGAGTACAGTAGTAGGCTTATTACCACCAGAACGACAAAAAATGTCGCTACAGTGGAAGATGCAGACGAGCTTTCCCTTTAGTAGAGTTTTTGTGTTAGGTGTTATTTTGTTTTTTCTCGGTCTGGCCAGCATGATAATAGCTATAATAGCGTTTGTGACACAATCGTGGGGAAACTATGTTGGCACTGGAATGTGGGGCGGTGCCACAGTTCTGTCTTCTGGAATTACAGCCGTTTTTGTGTCTCGCGTGAGGTCGCTAGCCAGTGTAAAAACATTTTGTGTGTGTTCGGTGATTGCCATGTTCACGTCGTTGACGATGCTGATATTATCTGCAGGAGGACTTGCATTGAGTAGTGGTTTCTACAGTCGCATTGATCTGGCAGAGTACAACAAGCGAACATCCAACCTCATCCATGCTTCATTGCTCGTCATCTCAGTATTCTGTCTGTCTGGAAGTGTTTTGGCAGTAATTGTCTGTTGTAAATATCTGTTTTTTGAGCATTATAACAAGCCAAAGCGAAGGAGACATCACAGAAACATGTCAGAGGGCACCTTTAGAACAACTAGCACATTGCGAGGTGGGGCTCTAAATGGCACTAGTCAAAGGTCAACCACTAGCAGAACTCCATTACATGCAAGCGAGCATGTATCTCGCAGACATTCGGATATTGTAGATGTCAACAGGGTCCAGATTGAGTATAGACGTTCTCATAAACGCTCTGCATCGGACCAGCCGCATGCAAATTCTCATTCCCGAAGGCAGAAGCATAACCATATGGATACCAGTCACGGCACTAATGGCAACAGTAATAATTTGCATGTTCTGAGTAATGTTAGATATTATCCTGATCGCAGAAATGGGGGCAACAGAAGCTGTAGTCAGGGAAGAGATGCCACGGGAAATATTCGAGATGTTGACAGGCCAAATATTACTGCAGTCAGACAAGAATCAAATAGACCAGCTTCACAGATCCACACCCAGACCGGGTTATTGCGAAATTCTGTCACTGCCTCACCAAATGTCCGCTTGCCAACAGAGTTTAACGAAGAGGAACTTCCTCCCTATGAAGCAGTAGAAGCATCTGCTAACGCAATGAATGGGTCACGATCAGATAGTGGAGATGAGTCCGACACTGAGAATTCATCAAGCACTGATGCCCAGAGCTATGTCGGTGCTGATGAAGAAGGTGTAGAGTCAGTTCCTATGGTTGAAATTCAGCAGAGCCAGTTTGAGGAGCTGTGTCATTATGAGAACAACTCTAGACAACAGAAAACCACCCACTGCACATCCTCCCATGACAATGTGAGAAATAATGGCAGTGATCAGCCATTGGAAAGACATTCTTGTGCTGTTCTGACTTCCACTGATCAGAGACAATTAGTGTTAAATGAATCTTCAGCTAATCGAGGAACAAGAGGTCTAGTTACAGGCAGGGACATTAAGAAATCGAATGCACCAGTGTTAACTTACATAAATTCTCTGCCATCAGACCCCCAGCACTGTGACCACCTGCTGTCTGTTTCACCAGAAGTTTGTGCTCTAACAGGAGAAAGTCCAGAACCTGGATCGCAAGGCCATGAGGGCAGACATTTGCCTCATGTAGTCTCAGAAAACTTCTATGAAAATGCTCCTTGCTATGAAAATATCAAATGTGGCGGCAGTAATATCAGTGAAACCAGCTTCAATCATTTGTCCAAATCATCTTCAGGAAATTTGTCTGACATAATGAGCATGAGAACCTGTGCGAGAGAAAATGAAACTAACTGTAAATCTTCAGCCAAGAAAATCCCTCTTCATATTATCTCCTATTCTCCAGTGTCGAACACATCTCCACAGTCACCGTTAAGCAGCTTCGGTTCTCCTTTGTCAGCCTTCAGACCTGTAGGGGCAGCATCATCTGCATTATCTCCCCAAGGCATACATTCATCAGAAGCTTGCAGTCCACTTCATCACTCCAGCAGTGATGGTAAACCGTCCCAGAATAATCTTGTACACAGTGGCAGCTCATCACCTCACAAATGTGTTAATATACACACAACAAAAAGAAACCAGGAACCTGGCACAGGTGTCAGAAGTAGATACCTTGAACAAGGAGCTATTCCTAAAGCAGTGAAACAACAAGATGAAGAGAATCATGGGAACATTAATGTGAATATGTCGTGGAAGAATATACCACTTCCTTTATCATACAATCACTCAGAAAGTGCCTCAAACGAGTCTGAAAAAAAGCTGCCTTCAAAGACAATACCGTTTGCAGATTCTGACCCAGAGGTTTCTAGAACTTCCTTGAAAAAAGAAGCCTCTGCTCAGATTAACACATCTTCCAAAGTATCTGTACATGTTTACCCTTCTAGAAATGTTCTAATGTCTTCCTCAGTTCCACCTCCATCATCGTCATTGTCATCAGGCTTGACAGTCAGGTCTTTAGCATTACCAGTTTCCTCCAGTCTTACTGCTGCTGATGTTCTGGCAGCCTCTACAAGGTGCACAAACAAACATTCTGATGCTGCGGTCACCCAGCCACAACAAAGTCAGATATCAACAGTGGCTTCAGGAAGCAACGGAGCAGTGTCCTCAGTTAGAGAGGCTAGTACTCAAGTTAACAGTGGGTCCACGTCTCGCTGGCATTCACACAGAATGGGAGGCAATCAGACCCTTTTGCAAAGCAGACGTGAGGAACTACACAACTGCCAGCTGTCTAACAGGACAGTGGAGACATCTGGCAGAGCAGTCAGGCCCACAAGCATGCCTCTTTCATCGACAGTTGGTAGTGTTGGTCATGGAATTTCAGGACTTGTGCTTGAGAGACAGTCCAGAAATAGATTAAGTGAAGCATCGTCCTACAATGTCTCTCACCAAGGGGGACAAGGTCAGCAGCCTCAGCCACTTGCGCTGCGACAGAACCATCTAATGCAGCACTACCCACTGCAACCTCAACAGCCAAGGCTTGGAGTTCAGCTACATCAGCGAAGACAACAACAGCATCAGCTGCAGCAAAACATAGAATCTCAGCAACAGCATCAACAAATGCAGCAGCAGCAACAACAGCAGCAGCAGCAGCTGCTACAGCAGCCACAACAAGGTAACCAGCAAAATCTTCAAGCTCAGCAAGTCAGAAATGGTAGACCTTTATTCTCAGTTTTACTGTAATATTTATTAATAATAATAATAATATTTTTGTTTTTAACAAATCTGTTTTGTGTTTTAATCCCCTCCGCACAGCATTTTGTATTCATCTCTCTACTGTGTTCAGTTTTGGAGTGAAAATGAACATTAATTTGTTATTACGTGTGCGTATTCTGGCTCAGGAACGGAGCAGCTACGTAATGACCCATTATAAAGTTGGAACCATGACAAGTAACAGTATAATGTAAAAGTATCCAGCCATTCGTTAGGTGGCGCTAGATGTTGCATGTGCATTTGCAACACAGAAACAAAATACTTACATAGTGTACTCTGATGAAAAACGTGCTGTTATGCGTTTTTTTGTCGTTGGGCAAAAGGGCTGCTTACAAAAAACATTCATAAGGAAATGCTTTAATGTTTATGCTGACAAATGTTTATCCCGTAAAGTGGGGCATAGCTAGGTAAAATTACTTTCTCAGTGACGCTTTAAGATTGTTGATGAAGTCTGATCTGGTTGTCCTGAGATTGTAACCGACACGCATCAGTGCAGTGTGTGGAGGAGATGATTAGAGGTGACAGACCAGCAACAGTTGACTCTGTAGCAGCTGCAATAGGGTGTTCACATGGTTCAGCATACAACATAATGCATGATCGATTGAAATTTAAGAAAGTGTGCTCAAGGTGGGTACCCAGAAGTGAATGTGAAGTAAAAATGTGGTTTTGAAAACAGAGCATGCAGTTCTAAGCAGCAGGTTTGGAAGGACTGATAAATTGATAAGACAGGTGCATCAATGTTGGTGAAAATTATGTTGAAAAATAAAGGGACAGTGTTTGTGTAAAAATAAATAATTTTCAAATTGTTATCGTTTTTAGTGGTTGTTTTTTTTAAACAGCCATTTGTGACTTACCAATTCACTCCCCCTCATAATTGCCTGCAGAAGTAGCACAAATCAGAATGTAATTGCTTGCTGAAGTACTACAAACTTATAATATTGTTGTCTGCTGAAGTACTAAAAACTTTGAATGTTATTGTCTGCTGAAGTACTTCAAACTTAGAATATTGTTGTCTGCTGAAATAATACAAACTTGGAATATTGTTGTCTGCTAAAATACTACAAACCTAGAATTTTTTTTTGACTGCTGAAGTACAAACTTAAAATATTGTTGTTCTGCTGAAGTACTACAAACCTAGAATGTAATTGTCTGCTAGAGTACTACAACTAGAATGTAGTTGCCTGCTGAAGTAATACACTAGAATGTTGTCTGCTTAAGTACTACAAACCTAGAATGTTGTTGTCTGCTTAAGTGCTACAAACCTAGAATGTAGTTGCCTGCTTAAGTACTACACTAGAATGCTGTCTGCTTAAGTACTACAAACCTAGAATGTTGCTGAGGGTACAACAAAACTAGATTAAAGTTGTTTGCTGAAGTACTACAAAACTAGATAGTAGTTGTATGCTAAAGTACTACAGACCTTGAATGTAGTTTATCAGCTGAATTACTACAGACAGTCTGTACTAGTATTTCTGTACATGACCTCCTACAATATGGTTTAAATGGTGTGTAACGGTGAAGGATCAACTTCATTGCACAAGATGTAATCTCACATATTTTTTTCAGTCTGTTTTTGCAGAACAGCTGTTTGCCTGTTGAGCGGCACACAACACAAATATTATTTCCAGTAGAACACTTGCACTAGCAAAATCAAAGAACAGTCCAAAATGCAACCAACTTCAGGGAGGGAAGAAACTAGCCTAACCACTTTGTTGTAGTACATTCACAAATACGTAGGGAAAGGGAAGGAAAGGTAGAGTACCGCCTAGAGACTTTCACCCATAAGATTGTTTGCCATCTGTTACAGTCAGTCTGTCAGCTGTTTTATGAAATAATATGCTTCATCATTACTGCTAAAGATTATTGCTAAAAATACTTAGACTTCATTCATATAAGATATATATATATATATATATATATATATATATATATATATATATATATATATATATATATATATATATATATATATATATATATATATATATATATATATATATATATATATATATATATATATGTACTCACTGTCACACTGTGATTTGTTGAATCATGAATCTTGATGAGAACTCAATTGTGCGGAAGGGATTAAACATTCAACCCCTTTTTCAAGTCTGGGCACATGTTCATAATGCAAATGTATTTCCACTTCATGTGAATGTTCTTCCACTTATTTTTCTACCTCCTCTCCACAAATTTTAAAATGCCAAAATCTGTCTCTGGCATTGTGCATTTGATGATTTTCATGAAACTGGTTGTAACTACATTGTAATCCATGATTAATTTAACACTTATTTTTATGATATGGTACACTGAAGATAAATCTGCATAAACTCTGTTGTTTATAAAGCAATAAGTTGTTTTAATCTCCTCTAGTGTGTCTGAGTTATACAATTGAATATACAGTCAGCTTATTGTTTTATTACCTGTAGTGGTTGTTGAGTGATTTCAGTTTTATGGAAAGTTTATAGAGAAAGACAGGGGACATTTGTCAAATAAGAATACATCATACTGACTGTAAATTTGATTTTTTTCTTGTTCTCTAACCCTCCTTCGTCACCTCTTATAGCACACTTGGTGGGTTACAGTGTTTCTGTTTATTATCTGCTTCTCTTATTGGCTGGTATAACACAAGGGTGAAGTTGCCTTTATGTAAAGGGGAATTTATGGCTAACTGCTAAGTTACAAGGAACTTTGTGTCCTTAGACACAGTGGATGTTTGGTGCTGAAGTATCTCCAACTGTGGCATGCAGTCAGTGAGATATTGTTATTCTTTGTGTTTGTGTGAACCTCATGAAGTATTTGGGAGTTTCCTTGATATGTAAATGAAATTATAACTTATTTAATACAGATCTAGTAGACACAGCAGTGAAAGTTTACTTCACTTATAATCGCAATAAATAAAGAAGTGCACAGTAACCTGGGCCACCAGTGTGACTGTTAAATGAAACATTGTAGTCACAATGGCATATGAAATTGTAACCGTGTATTGGTCATGGTTTGGGAGGAGTCAACACTTCATTTATAAGTAAAAAAAGTAAAGTAGAGGACCCTTTTCTACGCCTTTAGGTGTATAGTACTAGACCTATATTTTTATAGACCAATCGGCACAAGATGGGTGATGTTGTCAGTATCACGCTGGCCACCTTTACTTCCCGGGGCTGCACCCGGTACCCACTCAAGACTGGGTCAACCTGGAAGCCAAGGTCATTTTTGAAAATAGTCCGGCTGCTTCATTTATAAAAACCACACGAAATCCGGAAAGGGTTTGTGATTTTTAGTATAGATTAACCAAGTAACGGAATTGTCCTAATATTGTTGTAGCTTCAAAGAAGCAAAAAATAGCAACGCTGTATGCTACCATTCTTGTCATAAAACTTAATAAACTAGGGTTGGCTACCTCATCCTGTATTAAATTGTAGTTATTAGGGCTGCATGGTCTCGTGGTATGGTGTATGCCTTGAGGTCCCGGGATCTAGCCTTGGTGAAGGCTGGGATTTTTTTCTTGTGGACTTCTAGTAATTTCCCCTGCCCTCTGGGTGGTAAGATCAGATGCCCATGTTTATTCTTGTATACGTTAAAAAAAAAATCCCTTGGCAGTTGGAAATTAAAAAGAGTAGCCTCGCTGCCTGGGAAAATTTGTAGTTGAAAATCTACCCAAAGTATTTCAGGATCCTCACTGGTGCAGTGGAGTTTGTGCACTGTGCTGAGTTTCTTCAGACTCAGGCTTGAGTTAGAAGTAGAACGGAGCACTTATGGGTTACACCCGTGTGCCATGATGTTGATCCGTCGCGTGAACAAACAAACAAACGCACCAAATCCAGGCAGTGGTGAACAAGTCTACAAATGACTTGGCAGTTGTTGCTTGAGGACTGGCCTCTCATGTGGAAATAACAGGCAGAAGAAGAATAATGATGATTATAATATGCAAATGTTCAGAGAATTATGTTAGACATCCGGATGGCTGGCCTAATACCGACCACATGAGTGTCCACTGGTCTGTAAAAATGAGCTGTCTGCCTCTTTTCCCCTTCAACTTTCCTATTGTCATGATATACTTCAGTTTCCCCTTCAACTTTCCTATTGTCATGATATACTTCAGTTTTCCCCTTCAACTTTCCTATTGTCATGATATACTTCAGTTTTCCCCTTCAACTTTCCTATTGTCATGATATACTTCAGTTTTCCCCTTCTCATGAATTTAAACTGTCAAACAAACTCAAATACCCATTTGAAATGGTTTGTAGCAAATGAGGAGTCAGGCAGATTCTTGGCACTGAGTGAGGACTGTTTACTGACTACAAGGCACAGTTATTGAAATGCCTACAGTTTCTTGTATATTTATGGAACTACTTTTTTTTGTGCTATAAATTGAGATTGTTAAGGTTGTGAGCTGTGTTGAAGCTGTAAGCTGTGGTGGAAAAGACCTCATTGTTTGAACTAATAGTGCACACTCATCATGTAGCCTTGGTGGATTGTCACTCTCATCGTGGCATACTGGAAAACCCCTGGCTGGAGTCCCTTGCTAACTGCTGTATGGTGAGCTTTGATGCCCAGGGTCTTCTTGATATCTGGTGTCTAAACTTTGATGCCAGGGATCTCCTAGATATCTGGTGTCTAAACTTTGATGCCAGGGATCTCCTAGATATCTGGTGTCTAAACTTTGATGCCCGGGGTCTCCTAGATATCTGGTGTCTAAACGTTGATGCCCTGGGGCTGTTAGATATCTGGTGTCTAAACTTTGATGCCCCAGGTCTCCTAGATATCTGGTGTCTAAACGTTGATGCCCTGGGCTGCTAGATATCTGGTGTCTAAACTTTGATGCCTGGAGTCTCCTAGATATCTGGTGTCTAAACTTTGATGCCCGGGGGCTGTTAGATATCTGGTGTCTAAACTTTGATGCCCGGGGTCTCCTAGATATCTGGTGTCTAAACGTTGATGCCCGGGGGCTGTTAGATATCTGGTGTCTA